AAGAAGAAGAAGAAGAAGAAGAAGAAGAAGAAGAAGAAGAAGAAGAACTGGGAAGAGAGGCTAGAGAAATGGTTCAGTGGTTAAGAGCACTGGCTGCTCTTCCAAAGGACCTGGGTTCAATTCCTAGCATACACAGGACAGCTTACAGCTGTAACTCTAACTCCAGGCTAGGGGATCTGATACTCTCACACAGACATATATGTAGACAAAATACCAATGCACATAAAACAACAACAAAAAAGAACTGAGGGGAGAGGGAGTATGGGCATTCACAAGGGCATTCAAGTCCAGCCTGGGAGGATGAAGATGTAGGTATCCCAAGAGTCTACCTAAACTGGATTGGTGAGATCAACCTTCAGGACCAGGGTCAGGGTCAGAAATCTGGGGACCTCTTAAAATTCATCAAATCAATCCTGAGTATGCCTGCCTGACATACTTCAAAAGATGAAGCGCTACAGGGAAGTCAGGGGTGGAGATTCAGGGACATAGGGTTGGAGAGAGCTAGTAGCATCTGATTAGTAGGAGAGATAGAGGATTGGAGTCAGCTGTTTACCCCATGGGGGTCAGTCAGGCCAGTTCTCTATTCAACTATAACCCATTTCTTGGAAGGGCCAGCCTTTCAGCCCTGGCCTTGGAGATGAGGCTTTAGCCTGGAGGGCCAATGTGTGTTTCCAGTATGCATATCCAGAGTTTACCAGGTTAGCCACTTATATCCCAGGGAGCAAAATCTGTAACTCCACAGAAAGTAGTACCCAATGAGAGGTGAATGCATGTATGGTATGGCTATGTGCCCTGATTTATTAGCCAGATAATAAATCTGACTCTACGTGGGAAGCTGAAGCTGGCTGAAAAGGTGGGGGAGGGATGGGGGTGGGATGGTTAGGCTTCCGACTTCCCTTTGTCCTTTCCAGACCCTAACTATTTTCTCCAACCACCCCAACTTTCAGTGTCAGCTCCAAGAACCTGTTTATGTGACAGGAAGGGGGCCTGAGGTCTTTAGAACTGCAGAGATCTGGGTAAGAGGCAAGTAGGAGGGGTTCCCTAGCGCCCCCTACCCCAGTTTAAAGGTCTGCTTGCCATTCCCAGGAGCCTTTCGGTTCCCGCAGACGCCTTCGGGTTCCCAAAGGTCTTCCCTCCCACGAGCTGGTTGACACGGTAGGCAGACCACTCTGCCGGGCTACCCGCGAAGGTGGAGCGAGCTGTGGGCGCCCCTTAGGGGTGCGGGAGCCTGGGGGAACGCAGG